GGGCCCGACGCGCGGAATCGCGCGTTCACGCGGAAGCGCAACCGCGAGGAGGAGTTCACGAGTTCGCGCGCACCGACGCGGGCAGGGGCGAAGGAAAAGGCACTCCAGAAGGCCCAGGAGGCCATGCGTGGCAGCTAACCTTTGATTATGTTCCTACCGCCTCCCTTTTCTGAGGTCTGTCGCATTCAGGATCAACCAAGGTCATGCCAAGCAAATGTGTTGACGTATACAAAGTTCGGATGTCACGCCATGCTTCGAGTCATCTTTTGCGCCGCTCTGTCCGTTCGGCCATAGCGCTCGATTTAGTCATTCACAATCGCGCGCTGCTGTCCGCGATGCGTGCACACTACCCAGTTGATTCGCCTGTTCTATACATATACACATATATATATATATATATATATATATATATATATATATACATACACGTGTATACGTATGTATTTGTATATATTACATATGTATCGATTGGAGCGCTGTCCGCTCGCCTCTACAACTTGCAGTCAGGCGGGGCCATTTCGCGCGGCGCGTAGCTTGCCCGACCTGGCGTGCCAGGCCGGCGGCGGGGGGCTTCACTATGGCCCCCCATGCTAGTATGCAAGCGCTGGCGTGTGGCCCAAGACCTACAACCGCCGTCAGGCGGCGCATGTGCGTTCAACGCTGACTGGAACAAAAATTGACGGCATCCCATTTTCGCCCAGAGTTCCATGTGCCCATCTGCGGGCCCCCCCCACCCGCGCCCGACGAGGGGCGCAGTGGCGCGCGCGATCCCCGCCCGGCACCGGCAGCCGCCTGGCGGTCGCGACGGGCATCGCAGGCGGCGCGGGGCACCCAGTGCCCCCCCGCCCCCTTTTCCAGGCCCGCGGCGGCCGCCGCCAACGCCGATGCCGGCGCTGGTGCCAACGCCGACGCGAGGGACAACGAGCTACGATCATTGTTTCTGGAAAATATGTCACGCCGCCGGCATAGGGAGATGCGCGGCGCTGCTGACGCGGCAGCGCTAGAGCGCGACCCGCAAGGACATGCAAGAACCTCCGCAACGCAGGACGCCAGCAAACTCAACAGAGACGCGCTGGAGTTCATCCCCAACCTGGTGTCGAACATTTCGGAAGCCACCTCCAGGGGCGAGAGCGATCCACGCGGCAACCGGCGCGGCTACTGGCGCGGCTCCCTATACACAATCAGCACAGGTACACCAGCTACCACGACAACCAACATAGCTACCACGGCTACCCCCTGGGCATTCCGCGCCGGATTCGACGCGGGCAGGGGCCATAAAACGAACGAATCGGTGGGTCTACAACTCCCGACCGTCCGCGGCCGCGCCCCCTTCCAGAAGGGGCGACGTGGGCAGCGGGCACGGCTGCCCAACAGTCTTCCCGCGCGTCCACGGGGTTCCGCGGGGGCAGCGACCGATCCGTCGACGAGCCCGACGCTTGCGCAGATGCCGACGACCACGATGACGTCGCGGCGGCATCGCCTGAGGGCAGGCAGGGCCGCGTCATTCAGCTCGTTCGGGCCGATCGCCGGCGCCCGCTGCAGACTGACAAACCCACGCAGGGCCTCTGCGCTTTCTCGACGCTTCATGGAGGACAGCTTGCCGTCGCGAAGGCCGCCGCGCAGACGCTGGCCAGGAAGTGAAAAACTTGCGCGCGCGTGCCTGCCTCGCATCTACAGTTGCGGCGCCGCCTACCTGCGCTACCTGGCCGCCGACCAGATCACCGACTCGCGCGCCCACTTGCCCGCCGACCAGGTTTTGGGCCTCTCGACCGCCGACCAGCTCGCCGACCCCCCACGGCCGCTGGCCCATCGACAAGGAACGCGACAAACAGGAAGGCGAATCGGAGAACACCGCGCACGGGGATAGGGCGAATGAATGAATAAGGTATGCCAAGAACGCCACAGCCGTTGGAGGCGACGATGCAACCGAACAGTCAGGAGAGAGGACCCTCATCTTCCCCATCCGTTGCCGACTCGGTCGGCGCGAGCCTGGGCCCCCCATGGCGGGGGGGCGTCGCCGTTAAGGCCGCAGTGTGCCAGGGGCGCTCGCGGGGTCCTTCATCATTATCGGCCTCGCCCCCCGCTGATCTTGCGACCGCTCTGGGCAGGGGGGGGGGGGGGGGGCGCGCGAGGGGGGGGCCCCGCGCGTCTGGGGCAGGGCGAGGAATATCCAGAACATGAGGAGGCAGGCGCGGTGGAGGAGGGCGACGGGACATCGGGCGCGTGCTTGGGGGGCGTCGCGGGCGCCCTGCCTGGCCCCGTGCGCGAAATTCCCGGCCGCGGCGCCCCTGATTCGGCGCGCTCGGTCTCGCTGCGGACGAGGTGGACGAGGGGGGGGGGGGGGCGGAGCTCCATTCGACCTTGGCCACGAAATCTGCGACGCGGAGTAACGCGATGATTTCGAGGAGCAGGAGGAGGAAGGCAGCGCGCTGAACAGCCCGGCCGAAGAGCGAGAAGCGCGGCGCGATCATGTCTCTCGAAAGCTCCAACGCCACCACCAAGAGTACGAGGAGAGCGTGAAAGAGCATATGATCCGCTTCGAGTCACAGAAAGCCAACTCGATCAAGTGCACATCAGCCACGGTCGAAAGGCAGAGACAGTTTGAAGCAGCCAGAACATCCGTGGAACCGCATGATCGCAGTGCACTGCGCCAGCGCGCCGCACCCGAAGACCACGTTGGGCGCCTAGACGCCTGGACTGTCTCCCATGCTTCGACCACCAACGGTGGCGAGCCACCGCTGACGTAAAAAACGGTCGGAGGGTTGGGATTCGAGCGATCGAACCAGCATCTCGCTCTCTGCCAAATTCCGCCCACTTCACCTTGCCTCCCCGTGCGCGTACGCTGTGATAAATGGCATTCGCTCTTCCGATTACAACATGGACGCGCGAGCAAACTGGGTTTCTCGCCGCGGCGCCCCGCGGCTCCGCCAGTGCGAGCGCGAAGACAGTCATGATCCGCCGCAGCGGGGCATGCCTTTCAACCTGGGCTGCAAACAGACCGCTTGCGCTCCGCGTCGCCCGAAGGCAGGCCCGTTCCCGCGCAGTCGGACGCCGCCCGTGGCAAGGGAGGCGGGGGGGCGCAGAGGGTGGATGGATCCGCACGGGGACACACGAAGGAACTGCGCAAGAACGACCTTGATCTTAAGGCAGCCAAGACGCGACGAAATCCCTGAGATAATCACCCAAGTGTTGGCGGCCTTCGCCCTCTTCTCTCCCTCCCCAGCATCCGTCATGCCTGCTGCTCACCCTGGTTCCTTTGTCTCTCTCGCTGTCTCTCTCTCTCTCTCTCGTTTTCTCTTGTCCCCAGGTTGCTCCTCCTCACGTCGTTCCTCCACTTGTCCTCTTCGTCCGCGGGGGGGGGGGCCTTTTTTAACGAAAGTTGCTGACCAGGGTTACACCACTCCTTCGCCTCTCCCCCATACAGCTGTGACGGGTGGGGACATGGCGGAATTGCGAGGGGTGCGACGAGTGCTCCAGCTGACGCACCAGATTTGCCCGCAGTCAAAAGTCTTGAGACCTGTATAGGAGGAGGAAGAAGAGGAGGAGGGATGGATGAACATCGGTGGGGGGGTGGAGGAGAGGAGGATTGGAAAAGAAGGGGAACCGCAGCAACATGAGGAGGAGGAGGAGGAGGAGGAGGATGCGGAAGAGGAGGAAAAGGAGGAAGAGAAGGAGTTGTTTCCTCCCTTTTTCGAAGGCCAAAACAGCAGGCTCCCAGAGCCTAGCTTGACATCGTCTGGCAATTTTGGTGTGTACGAGCGAGTCCCAGAATACGACCAGGCACAGTGTATCTTTGCATTCAACAGGTACGCGCGGTGTTTCGCACAGTCGGAAACAGAGGTGTTGTTCGTGACAGCGTCGGCGTGCCTCGTGTGGTTGGTTATGGCAGGTCCTGGCGAGGATGGCCAACCATACGCCGAAACGCTGGAGACGGATTGGACCAGGGGTGCCCGAAATAGTGGGCACATTCAGTCCTAGACCAGAACGGAGGCCAAAGGAAGTTGCGCAGTCAACTGCTTCTCGGCGACCCTGGCGCGGCACAGCCGTTGCCAGGCGAGCCTGAGGCGGGTGTACAAATATTGGCTTGTATGTTGCACCATTGTGGATATGCTTGGCGAGTGTTTGGTTATCAGCCGAAAGTCTCTCCAGGAGCTCGTCGTCGGTGGTGTTGCAGGCGCAATGGGTATGATCAAACGATTGGAAACATCGATCACCGTGAACACTGCCGGTGGTTCCTCACGGGCCCATCGGAACAGGTTGCGTCGCATGCCCCAACTCCAGTGGTGGCTTTACCATACAGGGGGTTTCGCAGGTGCGTTCTGATTATCCACGAGCGCCTAACGCAGGGGTCGGCTGGTTCGCACCCCTGGGCCGTGGTTAGTGTCCGCTCAAGGAAAAGGGGGCGATCGCCCGGCTTAGCTGCGGTTGCGGCGGTGTCACGAAAGAGGCGGCAATTGTTTTCTCTGTTCTTCGAAGGCCAAAACAGCAGCCTCTCGGAGCTTAACTTGACATGTTCTGGCAACTTTGGTGTGTACGAAGGAGTCCCAGAATACGACCAGACACGCTGTATCTTTGCATTCAAGAGGTACGCGTGGTATTTTCGCACAGTCGGAAACTGAGGCGTCGTTCGTGACAGCGTCGGCCTGCCCCGTGTGGTTGGTTGTGGCAGGTCCTAAAGAGGATAGCCACCCACACGCCGAAACGCTGGAGACGGACTGGACCAGAGGTGCCCGAAATACTGGGCACACTCAGTCCTAGACCAGAAAGGAGACCAAAGGAAGTTGAGCAGTCAACTGCTTCTCGGCGACCCTGGCGCGGCATAGCCGTTGCCAGGCGAGCCTGAGGCGGGTGTACAACAAATGCGTAGTATGTTGCACTAATATGGATACGCTTGGCAAGTGACACGAAGGAACAACAGCAGGAGAAACGGCACGGCAGGAGGAGGAGGAGGAGGTCTGAGGAGGACGACAGCGAGCAACAGCAGCCACCCCCGCCCACAGTCGAAGTCGGGGCTCGAAGCGATCACAGAGGCGATCGTCATCTTGAAGGCCTTCTACGCAAAGGGCGCCAAGGCGCGTGCCTTCACCGACCAGGGCATGTCGAACAGTCGGAGGTCGTCGTCGTCGTTGTCGGTCGCCGCCGCCGCCGCCGCCACCGCCATCGCCGTCGTCGGCGTCGTCGCCGTCTCCGTCGTCGTCATCGTCGTCGTCGTCCCCCTCACCCCCAGACCTCCAGCTTAAATGCGGATTCGATTCGTTCCATCGCCAAATGAGGCGGCACCGGGTTCATTTTTCGGGGGTCTGCTCCCTGATCCGTGGATGTGGTCCCTTTGCGCAAAATCCACGGATACCTAATCCATGTTAGCGTGACCCCCAGGCTTGTCCAAAGGGGTGCGTTCAACAGCAGAGCCTCCCACAAGTGACATGTAACGCAACGTACGCCAAGTTTGGCGCGAGGATCGTGCCACACATTCGGGGCACGAGAATGGAAAACGGCATAAACACAAGCTTGCGCCACGTACCATTTCCGCCACCGCGTGGACAGAAGAGTCCAGCTGCGGGTGGCGCCCCTGAAAGGATGAGGTTTGGACAATGCAATAAGTCGCCGAGTCTCAAAATCCAGCCGCTCCGACGAGGGCCTCCTGACAGAAGGCCTAACCACCTCAAACTCGTCGTCCGTGGTGGGTTATCCTCTGCCAGATGGTTGTTGTCGTCGTCGGTCATCTGTCGTCTGTCAACCGTCGTCATCGTCGTCTGTCGGTCTTAGTTGTCGTCGTCGTCGTTGGTCGTTTCTATCCTCGCCGTCGTCGTCGTCGGTCGGTCGTCGTCGTCGTCGGTCGTCGTCGTCGGTCGTCGGTCGCCGCCGTCGTCGTCTGCCTCGGCGAGGCCATCTCTCTGGCGCAGGCCTCGCCTGTGGACGAGGACACCGCAGGCCCCCCCCCCGCGCCCCGCCTGCAACCTGGCTGGCTGGCTGGCATTGGCGCGGGTGTGTGGATGGGCCCTGACCTGATGTTTCAGGGGTCCATGTGTCAAGCAGTGTCGAAGCCTCCTGGCTCGCCTTAGACCCACCAAAAAATGTTATAATAACCTTTTGTGGTTTGCACGAAATGTTCTTAGAACACGTCTGGCTGGGACTGTCTTGAATTATCACATTGGGCTTACGTTCTAAAGAACATGGTTTTGTTATTAGAACACGTTTGGCTTCTAAGAACATCTCGTGGTAGGACTATAGGAATGCCGTGACGGTCGGTCCTTGCTCAATTGTGAGCGGGATAAATGACTGGGCGGGCGGGGGGGGAGGGGGGAGGGCAAGCAGCACGGGCAGCGACGGGAGCACGAGCAGCTGGAGCCGCAACCACGTAACCGAGGGAGGTCTTTAAAGATGGGCCCTCCCCCCTGAGCTCTCGGCGGTCAATAAAACTTGTTCTCCCCCTCCTCGTCCCTCCCCTCCTCGCCCTCCTCGCTCTCCCTCCTCGCCCTCCTCGTGCTCCCCTCCTCGCCCTCCCCCTCGTCCTCCCTCTCCTTGTCCTTCCACTCCTCGCCCTCCTCGCTATCCATCCTCGTGCTCCATTCCTCGTCCACCTCCTCGCTCTCCCTCCGCGCTCTCCCTCCTCGCCTTCCTCCTCGAACTCTTTCTCGGACTTGTAGAATTTGTTTCCATGTTAGGAAAGGCGTCATTTAAAAACAAAACCTATCTGGGCCACCTCGCTGACCAGAGCCCTGGAAAAGCCATGCGTACTCAATGGGCCTCGTTCGCGGCACGCGTCACGCAGTCTCTTCAAGTTGACCTCGAAGAGCAAGCAACCCCATGTGCAAATGATTGGGGCTCCGCGCGGATTTCTTGGATCGGCAGTGGGCCACCCTGGTGGCGCCGCCCCTGGCGCTCTCCGCTCGCCATGGAGGGTCCAGGGCCGATCCAAGAAGTCCGCGCGGAGCTAAGAAATGTGATGCCTATGCGGGTCGTTTTCGTTCCTTCATGACCTGGGTTTAGGTGGAGGAGAAGCAGCAGCAGGAGGATGAGGAGGAGGAGTTGCGGGGCCAAGATATTGGGGGTCAGCCTCGCAAGTGCGAGCTTGTGGCAGCCAGCTTCTTCAGGTCAGGGAGTACTCGAAGAGGAACAATTCGAACAAATTGCAGAAACGTTGTCCGCGCGGAGTTCTTTGACCGGCCCTGGACACTGGACTTCCTCCTTGGCGCGCGGAGCACGTGGGTCGACAACACTGCGTGACCCTTCGCCAGAGTGACCTTTGGTGTGGGCTCACCGGGGTCCCCCTGATCGTGAGCACGATGCGATAGCGGCTGATTGCGCGCCTGGATTGGGCCACTTTGCGCCCCCTTAGTCCGCGCACCACAGGTCACTCTTGCCTAGGGCTACTCTTTGTGTGTAGCCGGCCCAGGGGTGGTGCCGGGGGCGCCGCCAAGGGCATCGAGCGCCGATCCACGGCATCCGCGTGGATCTTGAAAGCCTCTGTTTATGAAGTTGTCCGCGCGCCTCGGGGAGGCCGTCCCATTTCGGGCCCCCTCCGCGCGCGCCGGCCGCAGCCTCCGCACGAGAACCGCTCGCTCGCGCTGGGGCGGAATAATGTTTATGAAGTTGTCTGGGTCACCCCCGGGTGCGCGAAGTGAATCGCGCTTCGCGTATCGCGGCTTGGGCTGAAGAGTTGCCTTTCTCCCGGGGGGCGGGGCGAGGCTTCGTTGGGAACCGTTTTTGGTGTCGCGTGCCAGGTTTTCATGGGTCTTTGGGGGCCTCTGGTGGCCCTCTTGGGGGGCGTCGCGGGGGCCTCCTGCGCCGTCGTGGAACTGTTTCGGGACTTTCTGGGTCGTCCTGGACGGGTTCGAACATCAGAAAAGCGACAGCGGGAAACGTGCACCAAAAAGAACACTTGCGTTTGTCAATGATGGCCTTTTCGTAGGCGTTCTGGGAGGGTTCTTGCTGCTCCCAGTCGGCGTTCATGGAGCCCCATCGCGGCAGCTTTGGAAGTTGCGAAGGGGTGGGGTGGCACCCACACTCCCGCTGGGGGGCAAGAGTGGCCGTCTCGGAGTCCATTTAGCATGATCGTTGCCACCTGCTTGCCGCGGTTTCTGTGAGCCTGCCAAACGCAGGGACTCGCTTCCAAAAGTGAGCGCGCGTTGGGTTGGGTGCGTGGGAAAGGGCTCACTGTTGCTTCGCAGCAGTAACTGAAAAGCAAGGGCCCGACGCGCCCCAACCCGCCGCCCGCGCGGTGGCAGGTCTGGACGATTGTCGGGGCTCGACGACAAGATGGAGGAATTTGAAGAAAATGGTAGTTCTTAACCGTGAGAAAATAAAAGGTTAACCGTGAGAAAAAATGACGCTACCCAGGAACCCCACATACTTATATTATGGGTGGAGTGGTGATAGCTGAAGTGAAACATGTGAGAATGATGTTGGTGGCCGTTGCCCCGCCGATACCGTTGGTAACGCCACTCAAGAGGAGAGGTGGAAGAGGAGAAGCGCAGCGCCAGCCACACTTTGTGAGCCCGTTGACCTGGACGACCGGCGCGCATAGCGGCCGCGGTGAGGGACCACCCCCTGCGCACCCCGTCTGGCGTCGAGAAAGCGCCACGCTTGCTATGCCCTGGACGACCATCGTCAATAGTGGCCGCGGTGAGGGACCAACCCCTGCGCTCCCCCTGCGAGGTCGAGAAAGTGCCACACCTGCCACGCCCTGCGCCATGGCCCGCATAGACGCCGCGCTCGGAGACCACCCCCTGCGCACCCCCTACGAGGTCGAGAAAGTGCCACACCTGCCACGCCCTGCGCCATGGCCCGCATAGACGCCGCGCTCGGAGACCATCCCCTGCGCACCCCCTCCGGGGTGAAGAAAGTGCCACACCTGCCACGCCCTGCGCCATGGCCCGCATAGACGCCGCGCTCGGAGACCACCCCCTGCGCACCCCCTACGAGGTCGAGAAAGTGCCACACCCTGCGCTCGGAGACCACCCCGTGCGCACCCTCTATGGTGTCGAGAAAGTGCCACACCTGCCACGCCCTGCGCCATGGCCCGCATAGACGCCGCGCTCGGGAACACCCCCTGCGCACCCCCCACGGGGTGAGGAAATGCCACACCTGCCACGCCCTGCGCCATGGCCCGCATAGACGCCGCGCTCGGAGACCACCCCCTGCGCACCCCCTACGAGGTCGAGAAAGTGCCACACCTGCCACGCCCTGCGCCATGGCCCGCATAGACGCCGCGCTCGGAGACCACCCCCTGCGCACCCCCTACGAGGTCGAGAAAGTGCCACACCTGCCACGCCCTGCGCCATGGCCCGCATAGACGCCGCGCTCGGAGACCACCCCCTGCGCACCCCCTACGAGGTCGAGAAAGTGCCACACCTGCCACGCCCTGCGCCATGGCCCGCATAGACGCCGCGCTCGGAGACCACCCCCTGCGCACCCCCTACGAGGTCGAGAAAGTGCCACACCTGCCACGCCCTGCGCCATGGCCCGCATAGACGCCGCGCTCGGAGACCACCCCCTGCGCACCCCCTACGCCCACACCTGCCACGCCCTGCGCCATGGCCCGCATAGACGCCGCGCCACGAGACCACCCCCTGCGCACCCCCTACGGGGTGAGGAAAGTGCCACACCTGCCACGCCCTGCGCCATGGCCCGCATAGACGCCGCGCTCGGAGACCACCCCCTGCGCACCCCCCTACGAGGTCGAGAAAGTGCCACACCTGCCACGCCCTGCGCCATGGCCCGCATAGACGCCGCGCTCGGAGACCACCCCCTGCGCACCCCCTACGAGGTCGAGAACGTGCCACACCTGCCACGCCCTGCGCCATGGCCCGCATAGACGCCGCGCTCGGAGACCACCCCCTGCGCACCCCCTACGGGGTGAGGAACGTGCCACACCTGCCATGCCCTGCGCCATGGCCGCGGCGAGAGGTGTGTGGGTGAGAGAGAGAGGAGAAGAGGGAAGAGGGGAAAAGGGAGGTGAGTGAGTGAGTGCGCGGCGCGCGAAGGAGGAGACGCGGGTGCGCCGCGGCAGAGAAGAACACCATAACCCCACCAAGCATGTGGTGAGCAATCCGTAACAACCAATACGTAAACGTGAGAAACAACATGTAAAACACAGTACGTAAATCAGTACGTAAAACAATACGTAAAACAATCCGTAACACATTATGCAAAAGACAATATGCAACAACAGTACGTAAAGACAAGCACGTGAGCGCCACACGTAGATACAACACGTGCAAACAAAACCACGCACAACCAACACCACGCAAAACCACAAAACCGCGTGAAACAACAATACGTGAAGCAATACGTAAAAACAATACGTAAAGCAATGCGTAAACCAATACGTAAAACAATACGTAAAACAATACGCAAAAAAAAAACAAAAACAAACGCACAAACAATACGCATATCTCCTCCTCCTCCTCCTCCTCCTCCTCCTCCTCCTCCTCCTCCTCCCTCCTCCCTCCTCCTCCTCCTCCTCCTCCCCCTGCACCTCCTCCTCCCCCCCCCCCTCCTCCTCCTCCTCCTCCTCCTCCTCCCTCCTCCTCCATATCCTCCTCCTCCTCCCTCCTCCTCCTCCTCCTCCTCCTCCTCCTCCTCCTCCTCCTCCTCCCCCTCTTCCTCCTCCTCCTCCCCCCTCCTCCATCCTCCTTCCTCCCCCTCCTCCTCCTCCTCCTCCTCCTCCTCCTCCTCCTCCTCCTCCTCCTCCTCCTCCCCCTCCTCCCTCTTTCTCTCCCCCCCCCTTTCCTCCTCCTCCTCCTCCTCCTCCCTCCTCCCTCCTCCCTCCTCCTCCTCCCTTTTTCCTCCCGCCTCCTCCCCCCTCCTGCTCCTCCTCTTCCCCCTCCCCCCACCCTCGTCCTCATCATCATCACCAGCATCATCATCAGCAGCATCATCATCACCACCATCCTCATCCTCATCATCATCATCATCATCATCATCATCATCATCATCCGCTTTGCGTACGCGTTGTTGTTGCGCGTTGTGCTACATCGTGCGTGTACGTGTTGTTCGTCCGCGTGTCCAACGCCAGTTTACGTGTAGTTCACGGTGTGAGTACGTGCGTTTACGTGTTACGTTTTTCTACATGATGTTTTACGTATTGTTGTCACGTGTTGTTTTGATGTGTTGACTTAACGTTTTGGTATGGTGTGCATGCTGTTTTGCGTATTGTATAGCGTACACCCTCACTGTGAATGCAAATTGTCGTTGCATGTACGGATTGGTGTACGTGCTGGTCGTGCGTGTTGTTACGCGTTGTTGTACGTATTGCGGTACGTGCTGTTTTATGTGTTGTTTTTACGTGTTGTGTTTACGTGTTGATTTTACGTGGGTCGAGCGAGCTTTCACGTGTGTTGCGCAGTGTGATCATGTGCGGTTTTAACGCATAGTGTTTTACGCGTTGTTGTTACGTGTTGTTTTTTCGCATTGGTTTACGTATTGCGTCTACGTATTATTGCTACGTGGTGTGGTTCCGTGGTGTGTTTACGTGTTGTGGTCACGCGTTGTTGGTTTTTTACGTATTGTTCTACGTGTTGGTTATCTGATCATGTTTACGTATTGTTTGATTACGTACTGTTCTTACGTGTTGTTTGGATGTGTTGGTTTAACGTGATGTGTATTATTTACATGTTGTTTTGCGTATCGTTTTACATATGGTTTTCACTGTCAAATTACATGTTCGCTGCTGCTCGTACGTGCTGTTACGTGTTGTGCTTACGTAATGTTTACGCGTTGTGATCACGTGTTGTTTAAACGTATTGTTTTCGTATGTTGTTTTCCGTAGTGTTTTAACGTATTGTGTTTACGTATCGTTTTTAAGTGTTGTTGATGTACGTGCCATGTTTACGTTTTGGTTTTACGTGTTGGTTTTACGTATTGTTTTACGCGTTGGTTTTACGTATTGTTTTACATATTGTTTTTACGTGTTGTTTTTTTCTCACGTGTACGTATCGTGTTTACGTATTGTGTTTACGTGTTGTTTTTCTTCACGGTTAGATTAAGCCTTGCTTGAAGAGGGACTATGTCCTCCTTCTCCTCTTCCTCGTCCTCCTCCTGTTCCTCCTCACTTCCTCTTCTTCCTCCTCCTCCTCCTCATTTCCTCTTATTCCTCCTCTTCCTCCTCCTCCTCTTCCTCCCCCCCACCTGGTCGGGGCCTTATGGCCGATCGATCGGCGATCTATCACCGATTCCAGGTTGATGTTTCCTTCCTGAGCCGATCCATTTCCGACCTTGCTCTTCATCCTCCCGTTGAAAATGTGAACCGGATTCGCCGCAATATGTTTCCATGTGTTGGTTCGCTTCCGAGGGCCACGGCCGAACTGGATTCAAGCAGGGCGAGAAGGCACGGAACCATCCGTGCAAATTGATTGCGTATTTGCACTACCACAAGGCGAGTCGCCGCTGATTTTGTGGACCTCGTGACGCTCCGCGCAACGCCCCCCTTTTCGGACATCCTCCATCACCTTCTTCTTTCGGCTTCGCGGTCCTCATCGTGCTTGTCGTGTTCGTCGGCTGATACACATAGGCCATTCGCTTTAGTTACCGCATCACCGTTTCATACGTTTGCGTCCCCCCGTCTCCTCTCTTTTCATCCTCCCCCTATGGTCCCTCCCCCCCTCCTCCTTCCAGCCGTCAGCAGCTTGGCCAGCAGACTCAGGCAAGAGGCTCTTTCTGAGTTTGCTCCTGTTCCCGTTCCTCCCCCCCCTTTTCCTTTTTCCCCCATCCTCCTCGGGAGGATGGCGAGGAGGGCAAGGAGGAGCAGCCCGCGGCCCCGGAGGCCCTGGCTTCACGGGCAACTACGGGGGCAAACAGGTCGCGTCCAAGGCGTCCCTCTGCCGCCCGGCGGCGCCCCCGCGCTCGGAAGGGGGCGGCGAGGCGAGGCAGGACGACAGTGTCGGGGCTGCATCGGGGCTTGCGCTCGCGGGGGGGGGGAGGGAGAACGGGGGCTGCATCGGGGCTTGCGATCGCGGGGGGGAGGAAGAACGGGGGAGCATGACGGGGCAGGAAGAAGCAGGAGGGTGGGGTAGCCGGAGAGAGCACGTTGGAGGAGGGAGGAGGGGGGAGAGAGGTGGAGGAGAGAGGAGGAGATCTAGGAGGAGCGGAGGAGGAGGAGAAGGCGAAGGAAGAGGAGGAGGAGGACGACGACGACGAGGACGAGGACGACGAGAACAAGGCGGACGAGGAGGAAGACGACGACGACGACGGAGACGACGACGACGACCACGACGACGAGGAGGAGGCAGAAAAGGAGAACGATGGAGGCAAGAACGATGACTTGGACAGAACCCTTGAAATAGCCCCTTGGAGCCACCTTGGGACTCTGTTGGGGATCTTGGGGTCCTCTTGGGAGCTCTTTAGGGGTGTCATCGGGTCCTCTCGGGGCCCTCTTGGGGCTCCCTTGGGAGCCCTGGAGGGCCTTGGGGCCATCTATCTTGGAAGCAATCGATCAAAAGGGAGGGAGTCGCGTCCTAAATGTTCCCCCCCCCCCCTCGGGGGCCATCATCATCGCCTCTTGGGGCGCAGGTGGGCCGCTCCTGGCCGTCGGGGCTCTTTGGGAGGACTCTCGGGCTCCTTTTGGGCATCTCTTGGGCCGATATCGGGCCAGTCTGGGGCTTTCGAAACGTACTGGAAGCGAACAGGCGAGAAGGCAACAAGCATGAATCCTCTCTTCGTTATTGGAGGAAATTGGCCTCCTGGGGGGACCCTGGGGGAGTCCAGAGGGGGGACCCTGGGGGAGTCCGTGTGGCCCTCGTCTGGATTTTTGGATGCATGTCGGAAGCTATCTTGAACCAGCGTCGGCTATCTTGAGCCAGCTTGGAGTCCACCCTGGAGCATCGGAGGCCCTCTTGGAGCCATCTTGGGCCTTTATGGACGTTCTAACGCGTAGCTGCCCGCCCCGAAACAAAAACTCACGGATGGGGTGGTCCCAAAAGGGAAGGGGTTTTTTGGAAGAGGAAAGAAAGGTAGCGCTAGGCCATTTTGGCCCAAAAGGTTGGTCGGCCTAAGTCGGGCTTGGTTGGTTGTGTGTAGAGTTTCCGAAGGTGGAAAGTCTAGTGGGATTGCTACGGGACCTCTTTGGGCTCCTTGGCCTCAGACCCCGCAAGGCACTAACTTAGGGTATCTGACTTGGGCCGGCTTGTACAGTGAGGCCCCCGCTCGTTGTTCTTCCGATTGTGCAAATGTTGGTTTGCATCAAACCTTGAGGTCGCTGAAGCCATGAGCGCCAAAAGGCAGAACTCAGGGCTGGTCCTGCAAATCCGACAGCACTGTGGCAAGCAATGTACGTATATGCAGAAAGATCGACGCTCATATGGGACAGTAGTGTTGTTTCTATTACCTCAGTTGAAAAGCTTCATTCGTAGCGGGAATGTTTATGATCATGCGGCGGCCAAGGAGGGAGCAGGCTTTCATCCTGAAGTGCAGCCGGTCGAGGCGTAGAACATGCATTGGCACATCAAAGTGGTTTGTGTTCCCCTTTGGCAGGGGCATGGATTTGCCAGCTCTGGCACAAGCTCGAGTTGCGTGGCACTGAGAAAGTCAAGTCTGCTCCTCCCAATCCTCCTGTCGCTGCCTCTACTGCCTCCCGTCCTAAGCACCAATGGGACAACACGAGCGGCGTCTGGAGGTGTAAGGTTCACCAGCGAGGTTCGTTGGCTGACGAGTGCCCCGCCTCCTCGTGAAGCACCACGCTATTGAACTGCACAGTTTTGGTAATTAATGTGTTTCCGTGCGCTTGCGCTGTAAATGCTGAAGATCGGGAGCCCACGTAAAGGCCTTGGCTGTGTCCGCAAGACTACCACCACCGCTGAGAGGAGGATTTGGAAAAAAATATCTCATGTGGGAATCGGCCTGGAAAATAGGGTGCGGCGGTTGAAGTTAACGACCATCTGCCCTCTTCTGTTCGACATAGCCGCGCCAACTGCGCTTCAGTGTTGGCTGCGGACTGTCCGTTCGTCCTGATGCATGGACGCTGGTGCAACACAGACACAAACAACACGGCATGGGGGGAGGAGGGAAGAGGGAGGGGAGGGGAGGAGGGAATTGCCGCTTCGCCGTCTGCTTGCGTCATGCGCATCAGGGAAGAGGGGGACGCGGGAGAGGACTGACGGCGATGGAAGAAACGGAGGGAGGCGCGGCAGCGGCAGCAGCAGCAGCAGCAATTCAACAGTTTAGCGAAGCGCCCCCGCAGGCCCGAGGGGGGGGGGTGACACGTGGATGCTGCCAGGCCGTACGGCGCAGTGCGCCCCCTTCGGTCGGGTGTTGCTAGAAGCGCCCCTGGTCCAATGTACCCCCAGCTTTTCGCTCCATTTTGGAGCCCCTGGGGCCTTCCGGGCCTCGTGAGGGATGCTCTGGAGGCCGTCTGGGCCACCCCGAGAATCCTGGGGGCACCTTGGGCCAGGTGCACTTCTAGCATCACCCGATTCGGCCTGACGGACCCGCCTCCAGCCGTCAAGGCCGCGGCACGCTGCGCACTGAGGAAGCCCCGGGACGATGAGGAGGAGAGGGAGGAGGAGCAGGATGGTTGCAGCGTCAACCGCGACACTGATGGTGACAGCGACAGCGACAGGAGGGGGAGGAGGAGGAGGAGGAGGAGGAGGAGGAGGAGGAGACGAGGATCAAAGGCCACCTGCGCCAGGAGGAGGCTGGACAGGAGAGGAAAAAGTGCCAGGGCCAGGGGCCTCGGCGGCGGCGGCAGCAGCAAGTCCCCAGCTTGGTGAAGCGCATATGCACTCCAGCTGGGAGGGAGGAGGGAAGAAGGCATGGGGGAGGGAAGGAGGGATGAAGGCGGCAGGATTCGTCCGCCCTCTCCTGCCCAACCAGCCGGGAGGGGCTGCAGGGGGGCGGGGAGAGCGCAACCGCCGCCCCCGCCGGGGGGGGCGAGGGCATCATCGGCATGTTGGCGGTCATCAAAACGGACTTCGAGCGCACGATCAAGGCGCGCGGTCGCTTCGGGGGGCGGTGCGGCACATGTGCTCAGTCGCCAAGCGTCTTGGCACAGTCAAAGCACGGCGGCTTCTCCAGCCTTGGGATCCTGCCCAGCGGCTGAGCCTCGCCGAGAGCGTTTCGGGGGAGTCGTCCCGAACGGCCGCCGGAGACCAGAGCTATGGTCCGAAAGCCAGAGCGGGGCGTCGCGAAAAAATCACGACGGGAGGCTCCCGCCGTTCTCGGGCTTCCGGGAGCCCCCTGCCGGGCCTTGGGGCCGTCAGAGAACGACTCGCAGGATGAAGAGCCAGGGGATGTTGGAGAGGTGCGCGGTTACCGAGTTTTCTACGTGCAGCTGCCGTGCGCATTGTCTTCCTGCCATCCTGCCTGCAACGGCGCACGTGCGCGGAGAAGGAGGAGGAGGAGGAGAAGAGTCTATTGGAAGTGCAAAGTTGCAGTTCTTCGTTGTGTTTTTTGTTTTTATCTCGTGTAGGATCTCTTCTGTGATGTGGAGCAGTTTTTTGAAGGTTTGCGGATGTTTTTGGGACGATTTCTGTTGCTTTGGGGCACTTGAAATTGTCCGAACTTCTTTTGGGGTTCTTGGCAGAACGTACGTGGAAAGTGAAACAGTATCAAGCTATCGATTCGCGAACCCCTTTGCCGTGTTGTCAATCGCCCCTGCTCCATTTTCGTGCACATGCGCCGATCACTGGAAGCCTGCACGTTCCGGACATCAGATCGCTCGAAATTTCAGGCGGTGCTGCTTCTCCCCTCCTGTTACCCCGCGTGGCCGCAGTCTGATCCATTTCAACATCTTCCACCCAACGTTTCAGCCTGCTACTTCCGACCAACTTGAATGATGTATTGCTGGATCTACCCTGAGGTCTTCAGAGGCCTAGGGAGCCCCAGGATGAGGCGAGCACACCCACGTGTCTCGATCCTCTACCACCGGCGACGGCAACGGCGGCGACGGCTGCGGCGGTTGCAGCGGCGACGGAGGCGGCGGAGGCGACGGCGACGGCGACGACGGACCCCCCGACCTGGCATTACCTGTCCAGGGGTGTTCGCTTGCCGAACAGTTGAAGGGGACGCAGCCGTGTCGAAGAGGAGCCCTCCGGATGTTCAGAGGTCCGAAAGCGTCCCCGATCGTTGGTCGTCGATCGACGACGATGAGGACGACGACACTCGTTGTGTTATATCCGACCCAGATCCAAACTTCTTGGTCGGTCAGTGCGGTTGCGGCGGCCACAAATCGGGGCAATGTGTTTGTCAAGGAGTGGCATGCCCTTTCCCAGCCGCTCCCCGCTCTGCGATGTAGACGCGGCTCATTCGTAATAAGATTGCAACAGTGGGCTGCCAACGCAAAGTCCAACATGGGCAGTCATGCTCCTTTTGGCCAGGGGCAGATTATCACGCAACCAGTCGCACTCGCGCGCGAGATGACCAGCGACTCGGAAAAGAAGGCGCAGGCCGACTTCGTGGAGTTCGACCGCGTGTCCAGGCGTCACGGGGCCTCGGGCCGTCGTCGGGCGTTGACCGCCGCTCCGTCGGCCTCCCGTCGTCGCCACCGTCGCCGTCGCCGTCGGCCTCGTCGTCACCGCCGACGTCGCCGCCGTCGCCTTCGCCATCTGCGTCGTTGCCGACGCGGTCGTCGCCTTCGTCGTTGTCGCCAACGCCGCCGTCGCCAGAGGAGGAGGAGAAGGAGGAGGAGGAGGAGGGGGGAGGAGGTCCGGAGCGATGAAGAGGTTTCTGATGACCAAACGTTTCTCGGCTGAGAAAAGCAGACATTGCACAGCTGTGTGTATGTAAGACCGCACGGCCCGTCATGAACACACGTGACGCCCCATGCACAAGCATGAGAACACACCGGACTAGGCTCGGGGGTGCGGGGGAGGAGGAGGAGGAAGAGGAGGCGGAGGAGGCGGAGGAGGGGAGGCAAATGAGGCAAATGAGGCAAACGAGAGAATGGAGCCGAGCAAGCTCCCTCGCGTCCAGCAAACGGGGGGAAGACACCCCGTGTGCCAGCAGGCACCCGGCCGGCGCCAAGCGCCCCTGACGTTGGCCCTCCCCCGCGAGGCAGGGAGGGCAAATACCAGGCAGGCAACACGTGGGTTCCACCCCCCCGAGCCGCCGGCCCCCTTCAAAATTCAGTCCTTGACTGGCCCCTGTCGCGCCCCTCGGAGCTCCCAGTCCCAGCATCACGCACCTGGGAGCCCCATGACGCCTGCCAGCGTCTCGATCACGAGCACCATCTGGGAATCGAGCACTCCTGCGATCCCCTTGCGCACAGCGGCCTGGACCTCGGAGGAGCCGAGCAAGGTCTCCGCTTCGGACACCGAAACTTGCCCGACGAGCCCTTGCACCAGCAAGTGCATCACGTGACTCACGTCCTCGAGCCCCTCGGACAGGAAGTCCCCGACGGTGACCCCCGACGTGACGAACACGCACTGCACCTTCTTTTCCTTCTTCTTCACCTCTCCTTCTTCACCCTCTTCTCCACGAAGCACGAGCCCGCATTGACGCCCTCCGACGTCGCCAACTCCTTCACCTCGACCAGCTTTCGCTGTCACGCGAGCCCTCCTCGTCGACCTCCGACGTCCCGAACTCGTTCACCTTGTCCAGCCTCTCATCGTAGCACGAGCCCGCATCGACGACCTCCGACGGCACGAACTCGCTCACCTTGTCCAGCTCCTTGCCGATCGCCTTCAGCACATCGTGCTCGAGCCTCCACTGGGCGAGGCGGCACTCCTGCGCTACCGAGGCCATCTGGATCGCCAGCTGGTTGGCCTCGACCACGGCCTTCGGCAGGCCTCCAACCTCCGACGGCGGCTCGACCTCCAGGGTCCCCTCGAACTGAAAGCCCGTGCCGCCAGCCTCCGACTCGATCCAGAACAGCTTCCCGCCGCAACGCGAACCCTCCTCGACGATCCCCGACGTCCCGATCACCTTGACCTGCAGCTCCTCGAAGCACGAGCCCGCATCGACGACAACCAGCGCCGCGGACTTCTCCTCCATGTACCAGTCCATGAGCGCCTCGCCGTGGGACTCCCCCTCGGACACGGGCTCTCGCTGTCCCCGAGCTCGAACCAGTCGACCCGCTTCAGTCCAGCACCTTGTCTTTCTTGTACTTTTTGTGCTTCTTTTCCTTCTTGACCTTCGTCTCCTTCTCCTCCTTCTTCGAGCGCGCGTTCACGCTGTCATCCTGGGCCTGCAACGCCCGCTCGAAGTCCAGCCTCGCCTGGGACTCGTAGGCGACGTTGTCCGCTCCACCAGAGCTCTGGGCCTTCTCCATCCTCACCTGCTGGCAGGGCCCAAAGTCCCTTGGCGGCGGCGACGGCGGCGCCACGGATCCGTCCAGGCTCGCCAGCGGCTGCGATGCCTCCTCTGGCGTGGAGGACGTCCTCGCCGTTGGCCGCGCCTTCACTGGCACCTCGCCCAGCGCCAGGCGCGCCGCCCGCTGCGACGGCCTGCGGGCCAGCGACCGCGGCACGCGAGCCCCCAGCAGCGCACGCCCCGCCGCCTCCACCGCTGACGAGAACAGCCGCCTGAACGACCCCCCGCGCGCTGGCGCCACGCAGCCCTTGCTAGAGCGGCATCCGTCTGCGCTCCGCGCCATGCCATCCAATGGCCCTCGCCAGCTGCGCCACTTCGAAGAGCGCTAGCGAACGCGCGAGAGCCCGGGGCTGCGGGGCGCCCCTGCTCGCGCCGGAATGGCTAGGAGGAGGGGAGGAGGAGGAGGAGGAGGAGGAGGAGGAGGAGGAGGAGGAGGAGGAGGAGGAGGGGGAGGGGGAAGAGGGGCAGGAGGAGGAGGAGGAGGAGGAGGAGGAGGAGGAGGAGGAGGAGGAGGAGGAGGAGGAGGAGGAGGAGGGGGGGGAAGAGGGGCAGGAGGAGGAGAAGGAGGAGGAGGAGGAGGAGGATGGAGGACGGGGCTACCCTGCGACGGCGCAGCTCCACGATCGCGTGGGCGACGGGGAGGACGAGGCCTCTGGAGGTCCCGACGGAGGCCTCTCGAGTGCCGAGGGGACCTCCGCAGGCCTCGGGGGGTGCAGTGGGCGCCAAGAGCGTGCAGCGGTTTTGATCCTCGAGCCTCGCGGTGCGAGGGGGGGGAGGAGGAGGAGCAGAGGGACGGTGGGCCTCAGGATGTGCAGCTGAGGGTTGGTTTGCCTCTCCCGACAGGGCCCCCGCACTCGCGCTGGGCCGGCCGCTCGCCCTTCCAGGCGGCCGCGGGCGCGCGAACGCGGTTGGGGACTCCCGATGGCGCTGCGTAAGTAAGTAAGGAGCAGAGGGAGAAGGAGAAGGGAGGAAGGATGAGGTTGGAGGAGTGAGCGGGTCAACCGTTGTCCACCCCTGCCCCTGCGGGTCCGAACGGCACCGGAGCATCACGCCTTCCACCGCCACGCCGATGGACTGCACTGTGATAAGTCACGGCTTCACACGTCCACGGTGTAGAAAGATTCCGGTCCATGAGTTTGTGCGAAGCTATTGGCGCGAGTTTCGGACCATCCGTTTGCGGCAGGTTCGCGTCGCGTCGGCGCCGCAACGACCTTGGCGTGGGGCGTCGATCGGAGGGCCGCGACCGAAGCCAACGCCCAGGTCGACACCACGCGGGCCTGCCGTGTGTTGTAGGGCAGGATAGGCCAGAACTCTTTGAGAAGGCCGCGACGCCCGAGACATCCTCCAGAGCAGCCAGATCTCAGAGATTCTCGATTTATCCTCACCCGATTGCATTATCGTCCTGGTTTCGTCTTGAATTACTCGAGTTCGCGCGCACACAATGCTAGGTCGTTCCCGCTGGGTCGTCCCCGCCTCTCCGTGCCGGGCTCGACGCGAGGGCCGCCAGGAGCAGCCCTTTACCACGAGGCGATACTCGCCCAATATCCCCACCAAGTTCCATCGCCATCGTTCGTTGAAGCACGTATTACTCCCAGGTTGCATGTTGTGCAGGCCTTGCGGCCGGTGCCGCCGACGGGGTCCCCCGGGACCCGGGGGTCCATTTTGGGACCCGGGGCCAATCTTAGGGCCAGCTTCTCACCGAGTTCCATCGCTATCGCTCGTTGACAGCATGTGTTATTCACGGGTTGCAGTATTTTTTCGTTGCCTTCCCAATTCCATGACCGACTGGCTGCTTGCTGGCCCGTCGTGGCCACGCAGGCCTCTCCGCTCATTTTTCAGCGTTCCTTGCGGCGGCACGGTGGCAGTGTGGCAGGTTTCGGCCGCGTCCGGCGACTCCAGGGCAGGCGTTCAATCAGCGGCGCGCCGAGGGGTGAAGTGAGAGGGGCGGGCCTTCTCAGAAGGCGGCGGGGCTTCTTGGAAGCCCGTTGGCCTTCTGATAAGCCCTCTGCGGCTTCAAAGAAGGCCTGGAAAGCTTCTCAGAAGGCCCGTGGCCTTCCGAGCCTTCTGAGAAGGCCCGCCCCCTCTGCCCTCCCCCGTGGGCGCGCTGCCGATTTCAAGGGTGGGCGCTGCGAGTGGCCCAGAATCGGTCAACCGCTGTCGGATGCAGCGATCGTCCAAGGTCGAACGATCCGCGCGGTGTCAGGGGCCAACGCCGGCGTCGCCGCGAGGTGTTGGTGATCCGATAGCGTGGGGCTCGCGGTGGTACAATTTGTGTGCATTGCCGTTTCGCACTCTGGGCCCCCCCCCTGCGCATCGGGCGCTCGCGCGGCTTACTGGGCGCTCTGCTATCCGCAATCATGCGAGAAGAAAGTCGAGGAGGAGGAGGAGGAGGAGGAGGAGGAAGGGCGAGGAGGAGATGGGGAGGGAGGCAAGCCAGGTGCGCAAGCGTCTTATCAGACGTCCTACCCCTCTCCCATCCCTTACCATGGCGTAGATATCCTCTCTATTCGCGCAGTCGGATGTCGTAGCATGACATAGCATTACATGGCATAACATGGCGCTGAAGATCAATGCGTAGCATGACATAGCATAGCATGGCATTGCGTAGTCAAGCATTGCACATCATAGCATTGCAGCTGAAGGCATGGCATAGCACAGCGTAACACACCGTGGCATTGCATTGCATGCCAAGGCATGGCACTGGAAATGAGGCCAGCGCTGCAGCGGGATCATGGTTCGGAACGAGCAGAAGCGCGGAAATGAGGCCAGCGTTGCAGCGGCAGCACGATTCGGAACGAGCGGAAGCGCGGAAATGAGGTCAGCGTTGCAGCGGGAGCATGCTTCGGAACGAGCGGAAGCCCGAAAATGAGGCCAGCGTCGTAGCGGGAGCAACATTTTGAACCACCAGACACAAACGGATGTACAAAAGCACATACGACAGCCCAATTGGCCAGAATCCGGTGTGTAAAAACAATACGCGGAGGGGGGCCGAACATCTTCCGAACAGAGTCAGGGGAGAGAGGAGATGTAATTTCTCATATTGTGTAGTTGTGGAGGGGGGAAGGGATGAGGACGGGGAGAAGGAGGAGGAGGAGGAGGCTCCCTCTACTGTCCCCGGCCAAGGGTCCCGCAGATTTACATTCTGCGAGTGGCCATTTGCTAGCAGCACCGAAGCTCTGCGCACGTACATTCGAGCCGAGTCCCATGTAGCCCCAGGCTGCGGACTCACCAGGTCCGTTTCCCATCCTCAGGCAGTCCAGGAATGAAGATACGGCGCATTAGAGCGTTCAGAAACGCTCTCAGAGCGTTCCCAGACGCTCTGAAACGGCCATGGCGCCCGATACATTCTCCAGACCCATTTAGAGGTACCTGATTTGTCGCCATCTAAATTTCTCCGCACCTTGCTTTCGTCTTAGACACTCGGGTCGGACGAAAGGATAGGATAGGGCCATAGGCCATAGGGAAATGGGGGTCACGAAATCAGTTGCATGCAGCTGGTGTCGGCCCCGCCTCCGGGCGCTTTTCATCGATACAGTGGCGCCTCCCAGCGCCAGGAGGCGCTGGGAAAATCAGCTGCGTGCGCTGCTTCGCTAACCCCCCTTGTTATCCCCCCTTTTCGTCCGACCCGATCTTAGACTCTTGCCCCTGGCAGGACCGACATCAGCGGCAAGACCACGAAGAAGACGCTGGACGAGGAGGACGCGTGCCTCGTTGGGGTGGCGCCCGCCCGCGCGGGCGCGAGCCTGCTCCGCCTCGGCACCGCGTCCCTCTTGTCGTGCGCGCGCGCCTCTGAGCTTGCCGCCGTGAGTCGGCGAGGCGTGGCAGCGTAGACATAGACGCTGGGAGCTCCGCGCGAATTGTGCTCGTCGGCGCTGGGCTCTCCCTGGCGCGCGGAGCGCGCCAGCGGGCGCCGCCAGAGAAGCCTCTGGCGGCGCCTCTGGTGGGAGGGGCATCCAGCGCCGATCGAAGAAGTCCGCGCGGAGCACGGAAATTGTGTGGCTATGCAGTTGTTTCTCTTACATTCGGGCTGACCGCAGGGTGTCGGGACTTAGGTCAGAGAAACTATGGATTGGTTGGTGTCGGGGATTCGGTGTTCTGCAATGTATGGGGCCAAGCGGACAGCGACGACGACGACGACGACGAGGACGAGGACGAGGGCGACGAGGACGAGGGGGAGGAGGAAGAAAACGAGGACGTGGGGGCGGAGGGCCAGCACCCCCATCCGTCTTGTCGGCCCAAGCCAAAAGCAAGGGCAGAAGGGAGAAACGTATCGGAGTCACATTGGATCCATGTTTACACAATCTTGGGGGTCAACTAGGGTTAAGGGGTCATCTTGGGGCCATCTCGAAGTCGTCTCGGGCTCATGGGGTCGTCCCGGGGCCACCTCGGAGTGAAATCGGGGTCACGTGGGAGCCTTAGTTCAGTCGGAAGACGATGGGTTCGTCTCGGTGTTCTCTTTGGGCCGCAGGGTCGCTCGGGGGCCATATTGGGGCCACTGTTTAGCAGGGGTGGGTATCTTGGGGTGACAGGGGGATCTTGTGATACGTTCAGAACTCTGTTGGGTCCATCTTGGAGTAATATTTCCGATGCTGCCTCTCTCTCGTTGTTGTTGTTGTTGTTGTTGTTGAATATTATTAATTCTAAAGAATAATTATTGTTGGGCCCCCTGGTGCACGCCCCCCTCGCCGCGCCTAGGCCGCAGCCACATTTTCATCATTTCCGTGAGGAAGTCTCAGGCAAAACGGGGGAGTCCGGATCCGGTTGTTTTGTTGACGCCCGCTTTCCCTGTCAAAAAACAATATAGAATGACATGTCTTGTTCTAACATAGCCAAACTTCAAGAATCCTTTGCAACAAATGACACGAAGTGCGCGCAAGATGAAATCCTTCCAAAACCTTAGTTTTCGTAGCGATTTTAACATAAAAACATGAAAACCCACTGTTTTTTTCAAAAAAAAAGTTTCAAAAATTCATCCCGCGCGCTCTTGCGGATTTCTTAGGAAACCCAATACTTTTTCAACATTTCTGTCAAACGGGCTCTTGCGAGCAATTTTTTCACGTGCTTCGAACTTCTGCAACAACGGTTGCGCGCCTGCCAGGGCCATCATCCCTGTCAAATAATACCATATGGGACACTTTCGATTTTTCTTCGCGCGCGCACGCCGAAATCTTCAAACACCATTGGGTTTCTTAAGAATTTCAGCACCGCGTATCATAAAATCGCACGAATCGCACCGTAGGTCCTCGAAAAACACGTGCACGGATTTTCAAAATTTCTACCCGCGCGCGCTGTCCGAATCCTTAAAAACCAATGGTTTTTCAACATTTATGTTACATGAGCTCGCGCGAGCTACTTTCGCAAGCTCTTTCAACGGCGTTCGCGCGCCTGCCAGGGGCCACAATCCGCCAGTGTAGTAGCCACGCGCCAGTGTAGTAGCCACGGTCGTCCGCAGGCCACGAAGTGAAGTGTCCGAACGTCATAGGGCGGGAAGCTGGGTGTGGGTGGTGGCGAAGAGTCGTTTGGAAATTGGTAGAGCTTGAACCGGCCCCCCCACAAAGTGGGGGTATTGCCCGCCTCCTATGAAAACCCTGGCACTGGTGAGAACGGAGTGTCCCCACGTGCTAGTAATTGTTGTTGTTGTTGTTGTTGTTGTTGTTGTTGTTGTGTTGTGTTGTTGTTGTTGTTGTTGTTGTTGTTGTTGTTGTTGTTGTTGTTGTTGAACATTATTAATTCTAAAGAATAATTATTGTTGGGCCCCCTGGTGCACGCCCCCCCCCCCGCGCCTAGGCCGCAGCTACATTTTCATCATTTTCGTGAGGAAGCCTCAGGTAAAACGATGTCCAGATCCGGTTGTTTTGTTGTAATCCGTTTTCCCTTGCAAAAAACACTATAAAATGACATTTCTTGTTCTAATATAATCAAATTTCAAGAATCCCTTGCAAAAAATAAGGTAAAGTGGACATTCGCGCGCGCAAGACGAAATCCTTCCAAAAGCTTAGTGTTCGGAGCGATTTTAACATAAAAACATCAAAAAACCAATGGTTTTTCAACAAAAAAATGTCAAAATCTCATCCCGCGCGCTCTTGCGGATTCGTAGGAAACCAACACTTTTTAAACATTTCTGTCAAACGGGCTTTTGCGAGCAACTTTTTCGAACTTCTGCGACAACGGTTGCGCACCTGCCAGGGCCATCATCCCTGTCAAATAATACCATGCGGGACACATTCGTTTTTTCTTCTGTCTCTCTCTCTGTTGCTCTCTGTCTCTCTCTCTGTCTCTCTGTATTATGTATTGTATGGCACAATTGCACCATGCTGGGCACATGCGCGCCCCGAATAAGTGACCAAGTTCTGTGGGTGTGTACCCCACGCCAGTGTAGTAGCCACGGTCGTCCGCACGCCACGAAGTGAAGTGTCCCAACGTCATAGGGCGGGAAGCTGGGTTTGGGTGGTCGCGAAGAGTCGTTTGGATATTTGGTAGAGCTTGTAATGCCCCCCCACGAAGTGGGGGTATTGCCTGGTGTCGTATGAAAACCCTGGCACTGGGGAGAACACCACGCGTTCGGGTAAAATGATTGTTGGTGTTGTTGTTGTTGTTGGTGTTGTTGTTGTTGGTGGTGGTGTTGGTGGTGTTGGTGTTGGTGTTGGTGTTGGTGTTGGTGTTGGTGTTGGTGTTATTATTGTTG